CTCTTTTCTTCTGCCTCTTTATCTTACATGTATGTTGATCCTACCACTTTGAATGATGACCTTAGGCAAGCTCAAAAGACAGTCTGGAGCATTTGCCTCACCCCTAGGTACATCTTGGTTGGAGGCTCCCATTCCAATAATAGGCACTCTACCTGTGGTTTTGAGAGTTACAACCCTAGTCAATGGGCCAGGCAATTTGGCCTTATCCAAGGCATTCCTCTCCCTTATGTCCATCCTACTATTCATGAGTATGTGAATGCCAGGGTCCAAATCACTGAACAACCTTCTGCTTATGCTATTTTGGCAAAAAACCAAAAGCTTTTGCATAAGCCTAGTTTCTTTGCTTTTGTTGTTAATGCAAGTATGAGCAACAGGTTTAAGGACTGGTGGACTATTCTTAGTGCAATCATATTCCACCAATAATCTTGTTTCCAATTTAATAGCTTCCATTGCATAAATGTATAAGGAATATAATGCCACATCATTAACATCATCATCAAATCTCTAATATTTGTATTCATTATACTTGTTAATAATTTGCTTCAGGACTATTATGTTGAATTTTTTTTTGATTAGTTTCAGTCAATAACTAGAATTTGTTTTTCCAGTCAATAAGTCCTATTCTTTAGGATATTGTTAGTGTTATCAGAAATCTTGGTCTGTTACCATAATTTTTGGGATTCATTATCTTTTCAGTTCAGATATTCTTACTATAAATGTAATGCACCAGTATGAATGAATATAACCACTCTTTGCTGCATCATATCAGCTTTTATCATTTCCTATTTTTTATTCTTTCATTTCATTCAATTTCTATTCTTCATTTTTCCTGTTTTTCTTCTCTTCTCAAAAACTAACATTTGGTATCAGAGCAGCATTCTTACGGGACCTGTGAGTATCCATGGAAGCAAAAACTGATTTTCCTAATTTTTCTCAAGCTGCTCCACATATTTTTGATGGAGAAAATTACCAACTTTGGGCTGTTAGAATGGAAACTTATTTGGAGGCTTTGGATCTATGGGAAGCCGTCGAAGAAGATTACGAAGTTGCTCCGCTGCCAAACAATCCGACGGTAGCTCAGATGAAAAGCCACAAAGAGAAGAAGACCAGAAAATCAAAGGCCAAAGCAGCGTTGTTTGCTGGTGTTTCAACAACAATTCTTACGAAGATCATGAATCTCAAATCAGCAAAAGAAATCTGGGAGCATCTGAAGACGGAATATGTTGGAGATGAAAGAATACGAGGAATGCAAGCGCTCAATCTAATAAGGGGATTTGAGCTGCAAAAGATGAAAGATGCTGAGACAATCAAAGAATATTCAGACAGATTGCTTGGCATTGCCAACAAGGTAAGGCTTCTTGGCACTAAATTTGATGATTCAAGAATTGTTGAAAAAATTCTTGTTACGGTGCCTGAAAAATATGAAGCCTCAATAACCACCTTGGAAAATACTAAAGATCTGTCCAAGATCACCTTGGCAGAATTATTGAATGTTTTGCAGGCTCAAGAACAAAGGAGACTTATGAGACAAGAGTGTTCCGTAGAAGGAGCCTTGTCAGTCAAACACCAACATGAAAGTTCTGGGAGTAGTTCAAGCAGTCGCACTCGAAACAAAGGTGGAAGCTCAAGGAGAAATTTCCCACCTTGTGAACACTGTGGCAAAATGGGTCATTCTCCATTCAAGTGTTGGAAGAGGCCTGATGCAAAGTGTAGCAAGTGCAATCAGCTTGGACATGAAGCTGTGATTTGCAAAAGCAAATCTCAAGAACCAGAGGAAGAAGTCCATGTAGCTGATCAAGATGAAGAAGATCAGATGTTTGTGGCAACATGTTTCTCTACAAAGGTCTCCTCAGAAAGTTGGCTCATTGGCAGTGGTTGTACAAACCATATGACCTTCGACAAAACTCTTTTTAAGGAGTTAAAGGCTACTGCAATGACTAAAGTCAGGATAGGGAATGGTGGTTATATCCCTGCAAAAGGAAAAGGAACCATTGCAATGACAACCAGTTTAGGTACAAAAACTATTTCAGATGTTCTTTATGTACCCGATATTGATCAAAATCTGCTGAGTGTTGGCCAGTTAATTGAAAAAGGATTTAAGGTGTCCTTTGAAGACTTGTATTGTCACATCTACGATGTCGTTGGAAAGGAGATTTTACGTGTCAAAATGAAAGGGAAAAGCTTCTTATTTGATCCTACAGAGGAGGAGCACACAGCTTATTCCACCAATGTCAATATCACTGAAGTCTGGCACAAAAGGCTTGGGCATTGTCATCTTCAACGAATGCTCAAGATGAAGAAAGATGAAGTGACAAGAGGATTACCAGTTCTGGTTGATCACTTGCCAAATTGTCATGCTTGTCAATTTGGTAAACAAAGTAGGAAACCATTTCCTAAATCATCCTGGAGAGCAACACAGAAGCTGCAACTAGTTCATACAGATGTGGGAGGACCTCAAAGAACACCATCTCTTCAAGGTAGCCGGTATTACATTCTTTTCATTGATGATTTTACAAGAATGTGTTGGATTTATTTCCTAAAGTTCAAGTCTGAAGTTGCTTGAGTATTCTGGTAGTTTAAAAAATTGGTGGAAAATTCAAGCGGTTGTAAAATTCAAATCTTAAGGTCTGATAATGGAAAAGAGTACACTTCTGTAGAATTTAACCTGTTTTGTGATGAAGCTGGCATAGAACATCAGCTCACTGCTCCTTACACACCACAGCAAAATGGAGTGAGTGAAAGGAAGAACAGATATGTCATGGAGATGGCTAGATGCATGCTGCAGGAGAAGGGGTTGACAAAAAATTTCTGGGCAGAGGCAGCCAATACTGCAATATTTCTGCAAAATCGACTTCCAAGTGTAGCCGTTGAAGACAAAACTCCATTTGAAGCTTGGTATGGGTATGTACCTTCACTAAGTTTTCTTAAAGTATTTGGTTGTTTGTGTTTTGTTCATGTTCCACAGGTTAAGAGAGACAAGCTTGACAAAAAAGCAATTCCAGGTATCTTTGTTGGCTATAGCACAATTTCTAAAGCCTACAAAGTATATCATCCTCAAACAAGAAAAATGGTGATAACTAGAGATGTTCACTTCAATGAGGATGAGCAATGGGACTGGGAAAATTCACAAGAAACTAACAGACCTTCAGAAGAATTTAGAAGCAATTCTTTTGAGGAGGAGGCAACAGACCAGTGGGAAAATAAATTGGTAGATGATCCACCAGTTAGAGGAACAAGATCACTTTCAGACATCTATCAAAGATGTAATGTAGCATTATGTGAACCTGCTGATCCTGAAGAAGCTCTTAAAGACCCAAAGTGGAAGAAAGCAATGGAGGAGGAGATGTCAATGATTCACAAAAACAAAACCTGGGAATTAGTCAACAAACCAGAAGGCAGAAGGATCATTGGAGTAAAGTGGGTGTACCGAACGAAGCTAAATGCTGATAACTCCATCAACAAACACAAAGCAAGGCTCGTCGTCAAGGGCTATGCTCAAATTTTTGGTGTTGATTATTCTGAAACGTTTGCTCCTGTTGCTAGACTACACACTATCAGGTTGTTGTTAGCCTTACCAGCACAAAAAGGCTGGAAAGTGTTTCAACTAGATGTCAAATCAGCTTTTCTAAATGGTGTTCTACAAGAAGAAATTTATGTGGAACAACCAGAGGGTTTTGTTGTGCAAGGTGAAGAGGATAAGGTCTATTTGCTCAAAAAGGCTCTTTACGACCTAAAGCAAGCTCCAAAAGCTTGGTACAGCAGGATTGATGAACATTTGCTAAGCTTAGGCTTCACAAAAAGCTTATCTGAAGCTACTCTTTATGTTAAACAAAAGGGTAGTTATGTTCTTATTGTATCTCTTTATGTTGATGACCTTTCGGTAATAGGAGATAATGCACAGATGATTGAGGAGTTTAAACAAGAAATGATGCAGGTCTTTGAGATGACAGATCTTGGTCTTATGACTTACTTTCTTGGCTTGGAGGTCAAGCAAAGCCAAAATGAAGTTTTCATCTGTCAGAAGAAGTATGCAAAGGAAATTTTGAAGAAATTTCAGATGGAGGAGTGCAAAGCAATAAACACACCAATGGGTAAAAAAGAGAAGCTGAGCAAAGAAGATGGTGCTAGTAAAGTTGATGAAGGCTATTACAGAAGTTTGATTGGTTGCTTGATGCATCTTACAGCAACAAGACCTGATATTCTATTTGTTGTAAGTCTCTTATCTCGTTTTATGCATTGTGCTAGTGAAGTGCATTTAAGAGCAGCAAAAAGAGTCTTAAGGTTTATTAAGGGCAGTCTTGATTGTGGTGTCAAGTTTGAGAAGAGTCTGAACTTCAAGTTGAGTGGTTTTTCAGATAGTGATTGGGGTGGTTCTGTTGATGACATGAAAAGTACCTCAGGATACTGTTTCAACCTAGGCTCAGGTGTTTTTTCATGGTGTTCAAAGAAACAAGAGATTGTAGCGCAATCCACTGCAGAAGCAGAGTTTATTGCAGCAACTGCAGCAGCAAACCAAGCTCTGTGGCTAAGGAAAGTTCTATCTGATTTACACATGGTGCAAAATGAAGGTACTGAGATTTTTGTTGATAATCAAGCAGCAATTGCAATTTCACGAAATCCAGTATTTCACGGAAAAACAAAACACTTCAACATCAAGCTCTACTTCTTGAGGGAAGTGCAACAAACTGGAAAAGTGAAACTTGCTTACTGCAAGTCTGAAGATCAGCTGGCAGATTTGTTCACAAAGCCACTTCCAGTTGGCAAGTTCGAGTTACTAAGGAAGATGATTGGAATTTGCAACGCCTAAAGCAAGGAGGAGTGTTAATAATTTGCTTCAAGACTGCCACATTGAAGTTTTCTTTGATTAGTTTCAGTCAATAACTAGAATTTGATTTTTTTTCCAGTCAATAAGTCCTATTCTTTAGGATATTGTTAGTATTATCAGAAATCTTGGTTTGTTACCATAATTTTTGGGATTCATTATCTTTTCAGTTTAGATATTCTTACTATAAATGTAATGCACCAGTATGAATGAAAATTATCACTCTTTGCTGCATCATATCAGCTTTTATCATTTCCTGTTTTTTATTCTTTCATTTCATTCAATTTCTATTCTTCATTTTTTCTGTTTTTCTTCTCTTCTCAAAAACTAACAATCTATAACTTCACTAACCTGGGATATCAGGAGGAATGGAAACTGGTCAGAAAACATAACTTTGTATCCGTGAGCATACTCACGGTTGACAGGCCTGGTCTCCGTTACTGCATAATGAATAAACCGGCCAAGTTAGTTTTATTATTTCTCTGTTTCGGGCATCTTGTTACTAGAACATTCTATCAGAAAAGATAGAAGTCAGCTACTAGAGTTCCATTATAGCAATGCAAATACTATGGAAATCCAACTCAAGGAGATATGAGCCTGATATAATATTGCTATGATCATTTTTACATTTGAAGATTGGTAGAACTACTGGATAAAGGCTGAGAACTTTCCAGGGTGAGGAAGAGAATTTAGGTTCTAATATGCTAAACTTCAAGTTAGGAAAAAGTCAGAAATAGTTCATGCTGGAGATTTTATGAAAATTTCTCCACTACATGAATTTACAATAATAATTTTTTCTTTTTGGGAAAAAAAAAATGCTTTGGAACTTTCGTTAAAAGAAAGAAAAAAAAGGCGTTATAGTTTCTATATTGCAGATTTAAATCAGCCTGTCCAGTAACTAGCTATTTCTAAGCAACAAATAGGACCTAGATTGATTTTTCATACATACTGAAATGCATAATGTTCTATGAACATTTTTAAATTGAGCAATACCTTCATTAAAACGCACTAGCCGACTGGGCTTTGCAAGAAAATTGGAGAACCATTTTGATGCTTCAGTTCCCTCATCAAATGCAGAGCCAGACCACTCCCACACCGAGACACCATCAGAAATTTCACGAGGTTTAGTCAAGGGAACCTTTAGCTCATCCATACCAGGAGCCCTTATCACTGTAAAAGAATGTGAATTATTAGTCACGATAAAATCACATCTACGAAGCTACTTTGAATCAAGATGTATGTCTAAAAAAAGAAAAAGAAAATTTAAATTTAAATTTCCAAACTGAAAAGACAAATATTGGAAGACATTTATGAACCAAAAAATGAAGTAAACATATGGTTGTCTAGAATCCCAAAAAAAAACTAGCAGGGCATCGGAGGTCACATGCCTATGCTTGTTGACACTCTAATTGACAGGAAAGCAGAGATTGAGTAATGATTTTACCTAAATATGAGCTCTTAGTAGGTTGCCAACCCTCGGAGAATGCCTCACTTGGCAGCTCTACTTGGACCAGAGCAAGCTTTGGTTCAACTCGTTGTGTAATTGCCCTACCTTTGGAATTCACAACTAACCATTGTCGATCCCACCGAAATCCTGTATTTTCCAAACATAGAAGAAACTGAATTATGTTTGCAAATGGAAACACTGTAAGTTATTTTTTGGCCATAACAGTTACCAAGTGTTTCGTGTCAATTGAATCTTAAAAAAGAAAAAAAAATAACTTAAACAGAATACAGATATTCTTTGATTCAGTTGGCAACCTTTGTCTTAATTCCTCAATTTATGATGGCAACACCACATATCATATAACAATATATTAACAAAGAAGTAAAATCACCAATTTCATTTATGAAGAACCACCATGAGAAATTCTATTGGTTATAAGATACTGATTTGCTACTGTATAAACATAAGCATCTCAAACTTGAGCAAAATTCAAGTCGTTGTATCTCTAAGTTTTTAAAGAAAGGTATAGAATTTGAGGGTTGTGCAGCTAAGCTAACCCAACTTTCTAATCCATTACCATACTTCTGAAAGCAATAATAATAATAATAATAATAATAAATATGAGCAAATTGTATTGACCTCCCCTAAGTTTTGGAGCAATTAAGGTGCACTCTACACTTCTAACATAATTATGCCGACCTCCCTCATTGTTAAATTTGCATTGCACTTAACCCCAATTGCTGTTAGTTAGCCATTAATCAATTAGACAGAACTGTTAATTTTGTATTAGCATACCTATTTTGCCTTTGAAGTAACTGAATATATCGATTAGACAGTGGCCCCTGGGGTGTCTCGATTGAGACATTGGGTGACTCGAACTTTAAGCCTTAAATCTTTACCACTCGGCCAACCCCTCATTCAAGTAATTACGATAAAACCCAGGAATTAACACAAAGTTGCAACAATAAAATCAAACAAACATAGAAAAATCAAAAAACCTTCTCATCCCCCACCTGTCCTCCCCTCCTCAACAAGTGGCGGAGCCAAGAAATTAAATCAGATGGGGCACTTATTAATCACAACATTAAAAAATTTTACAAAAATATTTCACATAAATTTTTACGATTTATTTCAAGAAAGATATATATATATATATATATATATTATTTGTATATCATGAACAATATATATAAAAAAAAAGCATAATCATTAGACTATTTACCATGTCACTCAATGTTCACTAAAAAAAATTCTTATTGCATAAGGTTCAAAATTTAGAATACCCAAGAAGATAAGGCCTTATTTTGATGTATAAAAAATTACTAAAAATTACCACATCAAATCTCTATCATAATTAAAATCTACTAACTCCACCATATTAGATTAACACCACAACTAAAATCACATGTGTTTTTCTCTTTCAAATTTAAATATTTTTAATAAAATATTAAAAACAAAAAGAAATATAAATCAAGATTGTGCAATATATATTTTAAAAGGTTTCATTATTTTTAATTTATAAATAAAATTTTGACTCTTCTGTAAATAGCACATGTTTTATGCTAGTATATGTATAGATATATGTGTACAAGTGGGTGGCACACGCAATACGTGTGCAATTCAGATAAGCATAAAACCAAATAATAAAGAAATTAATATCATAATATATATGTTGTCTAAATGATAAGAGTGTTCTTAATGAAACTTAAGGTCTTTGGTTTAAATCTTGCTCACACCTTTGAATAATATTTTTTTATTTTAGGATAGGAAAATTTGCCACGTGACAGAAGGAAAAACCACCACACTATTAGACACCAAATCATGTGTTCACATAGATAATAGTATAGATATTGTCCTCCAATTTTTTCTGTTGTTCCAATTTAATTCAATTGTTAACATTTGTTAAGAATTTTGACAAAAATCAAAGATAAAATGGTCAATTCAAAACAAAATAGACCATTTTTAAATTGGACACTAACATCTTAATCACTTTAGGAATAATGAGCGAACCATTTGGGTCCTTGATTTTGATCTAATTTTTAGAGAAGTGTTATCAATTGAACTAAATTGATACAACATGAAAATTTTAAAATCAAAATTGATACAAATGAAATTGTAGAGACCAAATAGATACAAGGACAAATTAAAGATCTCCGGTGTAATTTTGCCCCCATTTATTTTTACAAGGGATTGTCCCTTAAAATTTGAAAATCTGGAAGGTGTGAAAGAATTTTTGTAAGGCGGTGTAGTGGCCCTCTCTTTCCTTGGACTTGACAATCATGTCGTCCACGTACACCTCAACCTCTTTATGGATCATGTCATGCAAAATCATGGTTGCAGCCCGTTGATACGTAGCCCTAGCATTCTTCAAACCGAACGACATCACCCTATAACAGTAAGTTCCCCACGGGGTAGTGAAAGCTGTTTTCTCCTTATCTTCGGGTGCCATCATAATTTGATTATAGCCTGAAAACCCATCCATAAACGAGAGCAGCGCATGCCCAGCAGTGAAATCCACCAATTCGTCGATATGTGGCAGAGGAAAGTCATCATTCGGACTGGCTTTGTTCAAATCTTTGAAGTCCACTCATACTCAAATTCGGCCGTCCTTCTTCGGCACTGGAACTATATTGGCCAACCAAGTTAGATACTCAAATACTTACAGGAACCCTACATCAATCTGCTTGGTGACCTCTTCTTTGATCTTCGGAGCCCAGTCCGGGCGAATCCTTCGGAGCTTCTGCTTAACAGGTCGGGCCTCTAGGTCAAGAGGGATCCGGTGCTGTACAATCTCAGGATCGATTCCAGGCATGTCTTTGTAGGACCGTGCGAAAACATCTTTGAAATCTTTTACTAAAGCGACTAAGCGCTCGCGCTCCTCCGAAGACAACGTGGACCCGATCTGGACCAGCCGCGGGTCCTTCTCAGTACCAACATTAATTGAGGTGATTTCATCAACCAAAGGTTTTATAAACCTTTCCTGCTCTTCGTTAAGCAAATATTTCAAAACCGGAGGAATTTCTTTCTCATCGTTTTCATCAAAAATTTGAAAGTCTTGATTAATGTCATAAATTAAAGGCACAGAAAAGTACTCGGAAGCCACAGTCGTATCATTCTCATTAATAACATCCAGTCCGCCAGATTCCTCTATTACAACAGACTCAAAGGAAAAAGAAAAAGACGACCTGGACAGGACAGTGGCATCCGAGTTATCACCCCCAAGAATACCGAACTCAGACTCAGACGAGCTGAAACCTGATTCCGACCCCACAGACTTAGTGGAATCAGATTCCGGCTCACTACCTAACCCGGAACTACCTGATAAAAAGCGCTCTTCGTATTGCCAGACAAGGGAGGGTGTGATGGATGCATCGAGAATTCCTGAAGATAGGCCCACAGCCGCTTCATACCCGATCATGGAAACTGAGAAGTTATCCCCCAAGCATTCCAGTACGATCTGAGGATCTGAGAGTAGACATGCCAGTGCTACCCCCATCTCAATTTTTGTGCTCTCGGAATCCTCCTCCTTGCACTGCTCAGTCTCAATTGGTGGGTCTTTCTGCTCTTCGTCAACTTCATCCACGGACAGCTGAAGATCAAAAAAGATTTCGAAGCCGGGCAAGCGCCGCTTCTCTGAATTCATCCAGGGCTCCGAAAAGCCGCAGAACGGGAAATCTTCCCCCTCCCGGACAAAGCGTCCGTTCAGGGTCCCCTGGATAGGTCGATGTGCCAACTCATAATGCTTCCTGGTTTGCTTTGCCCAGGCTCTTCCGGCCATCTCTCTTCCTTTCCTCGCCCAATCCTCTTTGGTAGGCAAATAACCTAGGCCAAAGGTATATGGGTTGTGCGGCACTTCGACCGATGCTGCAACGCCCTTCCGGCCACTTCGGCCCAATCCCATCTCGGGGATGCGCTGAAGCTTGTTCATAAGGTAGACAAATGGTGCACTGACATATAGCCCCTCATTAACAACTAGCAAATCTTGTATAACTCGGGCATCAGCTATGGTAAATCCTGACAAAAATACATCCTCCGCGCCATGCTCAATTTCCAGAACTAGTGTAGAAACCTCTGGCGGCGGATGTATTGAAGAATTCCCAAAAATGATTGCCACCCCCTTCCCGTAGGGGCACTTCTGCATTTGGTGCAGGGTGGAAGAGACAGCCTTTACCTGGTGTAGCCACGGCTGCCCTAGGAGTAGATTGAAGGTGGTGGGAACATCCAAGACATGAAATTCAACGTCCTGTTGCCTCGGACCAACCTGAGTCTGAATCTGTATAGTCCCTATCACCTCTCGACTGGTATTATCATAGGCCCGTATCACCTGGGTAGTTGGCACAAAATCCACTACCTTTAACCCGATAGCATATGCCATTCTCGAAAGACAAACATTGATTGCGGACCCCGTGTCGACCAGGAACACCAGTATCCATTTCTCTCTACACTCGACAGAGATATAGAGCGGCTTGTTATGATCTGAGCCCTCAGGCGGTAGTTCTTTGTCGGTGAAGGTCAAGGTCGGGGAAGCATCTCCCGGGAAAACAAGCCCTACTAACTGCTCCGGAGTTGTGTCAATTGAAAGCTTGGCCCTATCCATGGCAGAAAGGACGGCCTATCTATGAACCCTCGAGGCCATAAGCAATCCCCAGATGGAGATGTCTGCTTGGATTTTCTTAAGTTGTTTCAGTACAGCCTCCTCCTCGAACAGCTTTTCTTTCTGCCTCTCCGCTTCTTTGTCCTTTCCACACGCCTCTGGTTGATCCAAGTGTGGGGGCTTGAAGTACCGCCCGCTTCTGGTCGTATGGTCAACCTCCTCAACATACCAGGTATCATCCGGTTGGTTCTGCCTCCAATCTTCGTCAATGTAGGCAAGACGTAAGTCATCATCTTCCCACCACATCCCGTCGGCAACCGACAGACAGCTGTCCGGTTCCGTTGCAACTGTTTCTGTGCTCACATCATATTCCGTCCTCGTAGGGGCTTTGGCCTTCCTAGCCCTCTCAAGATCCTCGATCTTCTCCTGCTCAACCCGCTTCACTGCAGCCTCTTATTTGGTGTCTACTGTACTCAAACTGCCTGGATTCCGAGAAAAATTCTTTACACCGGTGCTCTCCGGCGATTTCTCCTGATTTTCGGCCATTCCAGCCAATGTTGATGTTCCCATTTCAAACGGTCCCTGTTTTGGCCGAGATTCCTCAACAATATATGGCTGGTCACTGAGCCACCCCATATTTTCTGCTGATCCATCCAAATCGAACCAGTTGATGTTCACATCCCCTGAGTCCTGCTCTTCAAAGAACTGCAGATTTGCAATATCCTCTTCCAGCTCTGCTAGGTCATCTAACCCCTGACTTGGTCCATCTTCCTGAACCACACTGATCTCTCCCCCAATCGGCAACTCTGCCCTCGGCTTAGCCTAGTCTGTTAATGTGATATAACCACTCGGGTTGTACGCAAAGCTCTCAGACCCCTCGGGCTCTGAATCAACATTCTCATCTGCCTCCAAAGTCATCCCGGTTCTGTCTTCGACAGTCACCACCACCGGTTTAGGTTGGGTTAGGGAGGTGCTCAACATGCACAAGTTTGTGCTGTCTGGGATGAACACTTCAGGCTTGGGTAGGTGGGAGGGTGTAATATATATGCTTGGGTCATATGGAATGGCCGTGGTTTGGATCAGGTTGATGTGTTTGAGAGGTAGAGCTTGGTTATATGGTAGGAGTGGGTTGGTGGTGACAGTTGGCTTTTATGGTGGCACAATTACCTTATTGTCAATGAGATCTTGGATCTCATGACGTAGACTAAAGCAGTAGTCGGTGTCGTGACTGTGTTGTTGGTGAAAGGCACAGTATTGGGTAGGGTTATGGGTTGGTGGGAGGTTAT